AATTTCAAATATTCCAGTTAAAAAATCTTTTTTCAACTAAAATTCTATCCTTAAATATAAATCTTTATCATCTTTGTATTTTAAATTCAGTTTATCTTTATACAAACTTCAATTCACAATCTCTGCTGAGTAATTATTTGCTTAAAAATATTACACTTTTCACTTATGATGCTTTAGATGATCTTGGTAAATCCTTTCCTGCTTTTAAATCCTGTAAATGAATACCCGAGTAATTCATTTGAGACATGATAGAGAATTATGACCTATTATGGGTAAAATACAATGGTGTTTTCTGTCACACACAATAAATTTGATCTTAATTTAAAACTAACATAAATTAAAGAATGATATCTGCATAGAATCTGAACTATATAGTAAATATATTTTGAAGACTGCAATTTACACTAGTATATAGTATTTAACTGCAATCTTCAAAATGAGAGAGTCATATTACCTGTGCTTCATAAACATATGAGAAAGCTAAATTAGGAACAGAAAACTTTAACCTATTGTTCATAAACACTAGCTGATAACAAGGGAATCGCAATAACTGCCCTCTGGACATTTCTTGCTGCGAGAATTTTTTGAAAAAATATTCAACTGATAAATCATACCAATCATACATATGTAAATGTATAACTGTAACTCCATGTTATTCACTGAATATTTCTGTATTGTTGCACACATCTGATATTTATCCAATATATTATATAAATTTGAAAAACTGAAGTTCATTTTACTATACCTCAAAGTAATAACAGGCAACCAGTGAAAACTGAAGATGCATGTACCCAAATTATTAAATATTCAGGATTTTACACATCTCAAAGTGCCCTCTTCAACAAGTATACTACACCCAGTGGAAACTATTCATCTAACCTTGCATATCTATCAAATCAGTATAGCTATCTGATCTAATCATCTCTCACTGCTTCCTCGGTACAGTTCCTTCCTTCTAGAATTTGTCAATGAGTTTAAAAACCATCAGAAAAACTTAGCTGCCTGGTTGTCAGAGCATCATAGCCTCATTAACACCAGAGTATAATAAAACCCTGTTCAGGATCCACAGAATGATAACTACATAGTAAAATAATATAAAATGAGAGATGAAAAAAATGTTTCTAAAATATATGGGCAAATAGGATAAGCAGGGATCAACAAAAAAGTAAATCTAGTTATCAACAACTCAGAGAGTAGTTACCAGTTACTTGCATGTATTTGCCAGTGCCACTATCAACAAACATGACTGTAGTGCCACTGAAACTCAAAGCTCCAACAATTTTGGAAGAGGTGCCCTTGCTCATCATTTACATAAATGCACTTTATAGTTTGTTTAGTCAAGTGATCTAATAAATACATATTAAATTGTCATACAGTAAAATACAGATATATAGTGACCATGCTTACATGTATAATGAATTCATGAAGCTTATAACAACTTAGTGATTCTCATTTATAAAATGTAAGATTTACAAACAAATTGAAAATTTTCATCTGTGGGACTCCGTAATAACCATGCTTGACTGTACAGTAATTGCTTATGTCTAATTTCAGATTAATTATAAATTATGTACTTAAAATTTCTTAATTCTTATAAGCCTCTGGACCAGAACACTCACCTAATAGCCATAAATTAATAATATACTGTTATAATGGTATTATATTATTTTAATGGCACACAAAAGTATTACAGTTTTAATATTTATGATATATTATTAGTGTAATGAGTTCAAGGTAACCAGGAAGTGATTTTTATTCCCTGCAGTTTAAAATATTTTAATATGAAATTTATTATCTTTAGAATGGAAGAAGGCTCATTATTTTTAATCCATATGACACTATAATATATGATTTTCCATAACTTACATAGGCTAAAGCAAAAAGATTTTTTTTTTCAATATCTATAAAGAATTTATTTAACGAGGCCCGATCTAGTTAAAAATTACGAAAACGGAATGATAAAAATTTTTAATTCTTGGAAATATACTATTGTATGTTTTATGCTTAGAAAAATTAGGATGAAATTTTGTTACCTTGCCTTTATTGTAGTGAAATGGGGGCACTGTCAAGATATGGACCATTTTTCGTGTTCTTATACACAATTACATACTAAAACTCTTCAAAAAACAAAGAAATTTACAAATTTAAAAAAAATACACGATGAAATTCTTTGTTTTTCACATATATCATGCAATTTTCATTCCTCTCATAAAAAATGAAAAGAAAATTGGCGGTAGCCTTTAATGCAATGAAAAGGGGGCATGTCAAAACACAAAATTTGGATTTATTCTATCCAACTACGTATTTTATAGGTCGCAATGGGTTTACATAACACCAACAAACGATTGCAATACTGTATTTCTAAAAAATAAATAATTCTTACATTAGGAAATTATTTTCTCGCCATGCTTTATTTTTATTTTTCTCTTAACACGCAACGTTGTTTTACGTGGAAAATAGGGGTAGAAGGGTGTGTGTGTGTGGGGTGGGGGGGGTAAAGGCGACAAAATTGCGATTTTTACTAATATTATGTTATATATAGAAAAATTAAATATTTCGGGGGGTTCAATTTAAATGATTTATAGACTTATTTTATTTTTTAAAACTGAAGATAATCCATGCATATTTAAGTCCGCAATAAAAAGAGTGTGTATACACACTTCAAAGAGAAAGACTAAAATCGTTTACTTTTAGTTGCAGCGTTTGTTTTTTAAACTCACAAATTGAAATAAAAAGGATAAAATTAATAAATCTGTAACAGTTTAGCGCAATTTGACGTCATTTTATTTGTGACGTTATTATGTTCAATTGTGACGGCAGTCAAGGGTATTGTGACGTGCCTGAGTCGACGCTGCGTTAAAACGTATGCGCAGATCAAGTAGATCGGGCCTCGTTAAATTTAACATTCACACAGGGACCAACCGAGGGGGCGACTGAGGCGAAATAGTCGCTTTTGGGCTCCAAACTTCGCCGTAATTTATCATGAAAGCGAAGTTAAAGTCGCCCTAACATTTGCGACCCCATTATTGAAAATCATGAAGAAAATCTATTAAGAAACATGATAGAATCATCAGTAGTTTATAAATCCTGTTTTATTACTGCTGAAATAAACGAAACAGCAGGACACTTGTACCTGTTTCGCTACTAATGACCAATGCATCGAATACTCTGTCGGAACTCCTCTAGATTTTACACTTCCGGGTATGATAAAGTCCATTGTTACAAGTTATGCACAACCAGACACAAAACAGCTGGTCAGCTATATATATCGATGTCATGCCAAAGATGTTGAAGATGATTTTTGATCTTTTTATTGCCAAATAATTAATTCATGCTGTGAATACAGACCTATTTTACTGTTAAATTGTGTAGTTATTGACTGTGTAAGAAATTACACGTCTGATATACAGAGTTCAATCAGCATGCAGTACGTAGTACATCAAAACTTTTTCAGAAAAAAAAATTAAGATTGAAAACAAATTTTGAAGAGATAATAACAGAATTATGACTATGCAATGAGCATAAAAATTTAAAATGAAAAGATAGAATTTAAAAGTTAATTGTGCATATTAATTATTATGCAAGAAATGAAAAAAAAAACCTTTACATTGTCATTATTTATTTATTTATTTATTTATTTATTTTATTTGTTGTTGTTTTTTATTTTGTTTTGTTTTGTTTTGTTTTTTTTTTTGCTAGATATACCGGTACCTTGTAATTGGAAAAAAAATTCAGATTCTTTTCCTCCTTCTTAAATTATTTTTACTAGGATTTCAATACAGAAAAAAATTATTGAAAAGTATTTTAAGTTAAAAACAGTGAAAATAGTTTCATTTTTATAAAGTTTCATAATGATCAGTGAACATCACGCGCGCTAAGAAGTCTCCCTAAATTTCAAAACTTCTCCCTAAATTTCTCTGAGGGAGAAGTGAAGTCTCCCTAAATTTTGGGTCTAGGTTTGTCCCTGTTCACATATAACTCTTTTTTGGTAATAGGCCTGCTATTAAAATGTATTATACATTCTCTCTCTCTCTCTCTCTCTCCTTTTTATTATGACATACTCTCAAAAAAGATTTCTGCATTGCAATATCACAACTTTAAAGATTGTAAGCTATAAGTATAAAATCATGCATATATTAAATAAAGAAGAGTCCTGTGTAAAACATTATATATATAAACATGACAAATGGATAATATACAAGATAAACCTATAAAATTCTCTATGAGATATTACAGTGAACAGAAAGAAACACTTTTCTTAAAAGGCTAAAAATTATTTCTTTATATTTTACCTGTAAATCATGAGGAATATATCTACACTCAGTGAGACATGTTAAATGCATTAGTTGACCACTTTTCTTAAAAGCTTCAAGTACACTGCATTATATTTACCGGATAACTCATTTAATTAAGAGGACACATTATTTTCCACCTATACTCACTTTTAAACCGCAAAATTAGATTAAACAGGATACAATAGATGATACTTATGAGAATTTAATTCCAGATTATATAATAATATAATATGACTTAAGTATTGTGTTGCAGGATTATGTTATAATATAAAATAATGTGTTTTTCACTGTCAAAAAAACCCCAGCTTCTTTACAATTTTAAGCCATCAGTAGATTTTGTGTGTGTGTTTCATTATTTATAAAAATATTAGCTCAATATTGATATCCTTTTTTTTATCATATGGGAAGGGGGTAACAATCATCAGTGTTACAGAAAAGACATCTAGTTACACGTGTAAACTCATTTATTATGTTTTTTAATGAAAGATAAGAGTCTATTTGAATTAAATAATCTGCACAAAATTTTCAATTTTTTTTTTAAAGTAATGCGTGCACCCCCCCCCCCCCCCGCGCCTTCTCGGGTAAATTTCCAGTCTCACCCGATATCCATCTATGTCCATTGGACGTCGAATAGTTAATTATATAGTTTAATTAACGTAATTATCTCTGAGATGAGTCTTAATAATGGATATCTTTGTCACTTACCAATGAGTTGTTCTAAATATTGCTTCTTCTGTAAACAATGCACTTCACAGTTCACGTTACGCAATCTGCGCTCTCTGCTGGACTATTGCACTATGCCGTATTTTGGAAATTATGCAATTATTTATCTTCGAGGTATCAGTTGTAGTGTTGAACATGAATATTTAAACAGTCTCAAAGGAGTAAATAACAGAATCACAGTCATATCCTAAACCTTCTGCCGTATTCTGTAGAGATTTGAATGAAATGTAAAAGTATGGTGGACAGATGGGGCTTCTAACACACAAAGTCCGCGCACCTGCTTTTCGGCATCGTCGCAAACCACCGCCAAATTGTACGATCCTCTCCCATTCTGAGAGGAGAGAGCTATATGCGGACTCCGGACCTTGGCTTGAGACGATGGCTTTTCGGGTTGCAGCTTGAATCTCCCATGTCTTCTTCACATATTTGGCGGTCATTTTTATCGCACATGAAATAGATGCTCAGTTTACATGGCTTATTAGTTTTGATCATTAGTTGTCAAATGCCCACCTGTCTGTTCTAGATGTCTACACACCATAGCTTTTTTCAACCAAACTTTACCACCAGATAATGTCTTTGCAGGTCCGTAGAATGCGAGGGTGGGGTGGAGTGGGGTCACTGGGGGGGGGGGTCGGTCTTTATTAGTGTAGTATTTTGTCATAGAAAATTTTCCCTTAGACATACTAAGATGCTTGTGGATTTTGCTGAAATATCGAACACTGGAAAATTTAAGTTTGGAGTTTATTTTTTGATTTTTTTTTCCCGCCTTGTCATATTAATTTGGGAAGCCCCTTTTGAAACCGTTGCTACGGGTCTGTCTTTGACATGAGCTGTAACCCCCCCCCCCTCCTTAATACGTATTGTTGCTGTGAGGTCGAACACTGGAATATAATATTCCAGCATTGAAGGGGGGTACCAAAAATTAGATAAAGGTTTATGAGTTTGGATTTACGAAAGCCCATTGGGCTCATTTTCGTAGGTTAAAAAAATTAAATTTTCGTGTTATAACGCGAAACTTTCGCGATATATAACGCGTACAACTTTCGAGAATAAACGCGATACTCACCTCTTCTCTGAGAGATAAGAACATGAACACTGACGCGAACTTTCATGAATTTATGAATAAATTATCATTTCCTCAGAAGGTGTCCCGGAGAAAGGATACTAGTAGATTAGTCATCACATTTTTTTTTATTTCAAAACCCCACCAATTTATAAAACTAATTTTACTTTCTTGCACATGTTTTTCAGTTGTTAAATTCAAATAAATCTTTAGACTGGTTATTTTATTGAAGGAAAATCTCCACTTGACACTTTCTCAAGCTGTTTTTATCAGCAACACTCACTACAACTGTACCACTATTAAATTAAGCAATCCATCATTTCTAACTGAAAATTACTAGTATACATTGTAGAACATAACTTAAAAGGTGCCATATTATGCTTTTTACGTAATAAATATAAACATAAGGGATGTTGTTGATTACAAATTGATCGAGGAGGAGAGGTCTATTTTTCTTAATTTTTCTTCAATATTTATATATCCGATGGGTCATTGAAAAGTTCGTGGACTAGCGCCATAAATCAAAACTATTAAGGAATACAGCAAAGAGTTTTTACACTTTGAATTAATTTTCAATGTTTTCGTAAGCAATGGAATGACAACGCGGCGCAACCTCAAAATACGATGTCGTATTTCTACAGTGAATCGAACGGAGACAAATGAAAATTTGCCATCCAATTTTCACCCATGTGGTAGGCACAATTGACAAATTTACCTTATTTTTTTTTCAATTTCTGAAATCTTTATTTTAACTTTTGATAAACTTTGAATGGTTTGAACAGCGTTGAGAAAGACAAAATGTGACCGTAATATATAGCAAGAAAACTTTAAATTGTAGCTTGTGGTGGTCCAAGATCAAAATGGCCTTTCGCCTTTCTTTGTAATGAATAAACTAGATCACAAAATCGGAAGAAAGACTTATGCAAATGTCTTGGTTAAACAGCAAAAGTTTCGCGTTATCACAATATTTGATATCAAATGAAAGGTCTTGTCACAAGGATTAAATATTTGAAGTATGAAAGTCCTGGTTCTAACCCTTCAAAAATTATGGTCAATGATGTATTTTAAATGTAGGTCAAACTCCAAGGTCAAAGGGTCAAAGTTCTTGGTATCCAATGAAGCGTCTTCTCAGACGGATTACATATGTAAAGTATGATGGCCTTATCCCTTACCGTTCAAAAGTTATGGCCAAGGTGATAACCATGGAAATCTTCAAGGTAAAGATCAAAGTTGTTTGTACTCAATGAAAGGTCTTTCCACAAAGAATATATATATGAAGTATAAAAGTCTCTACTGTTCACAAGATATTGCCAAAGTAAAAGTTTGGAATTTTTGTGTAAAAGTGGGTCGAACTCCAAGGTCATGGTCAAAAGGTCAAATTTGGTGGTACCAAAAGAAAGGTCTTGTCACAAGGACAAGGTTAGAGTTTTTGCGGACAAACAGACAGACAGACGGACGAACATGACAAAAACTATACCCCCGAAACTTCATTTACGGGGGCATAAATATCTCTCTGAGTATGATACCGTAATCATGGACCAGTACATATGGAATACAAAATTAAAAAGTTAAAAATGTTGAAAACGTCGAATATACTCCAAAGTATACCCCCGGTAAGTGATAAACATGAAATAATTTTCATGGTTGTTATGGTTACATACTAGCTGTAGCCATACAAAATTAAATGGCAATTTTGGTTATTGCTGCTATATTAAAGAAAAATTTTAAAATTCAAGACTTGTAAATACTAGTAAAATATCGTTATAATTTCCCATCAATGACATATTTTTTTTAAATCAAATGGAAGTAATAATATTTTCCAGCAAATCTTGGGAATTTCTATGCCCCTGTAAACAAAGTGTCAGGGGTATATAGTTTTTGTCGTGTCTGTCCGTCTGTTTGTCCCCAGAAACTTTAACCTTGCCCATAACTTTTGATCTAGTGGAGCTAAGACTTTCATATTGCACATGTGTATTCCTTGTGACAAGACCTTTCTTCGGGTACCACCAAATTTGAACTTTTAGACCTTGACCCTGGAGTTTGACGCACTTGAACACAAAAATTCCAAACTTTTACTTTGGCCATATCATTTCAACAGTAGATACCAGGACTTTTATACTTCATTTATGTATTTCTTGTGAGAAGACCTTTTATTGGATATCAACAACGTTTACCTTTTGATCTTGGAGATTTCTGTACTTATGAAAAAAACTTTGACCTTGGCCATAACTTTTGAACGGTAAGGGCTAGTGATTTCATACTTCACATGTGTAAATCTAGTGAAAAGACTTTTCATTGGATACCAAGAACTTTGACCCTTTGACCTTGGAGTTTGACCTACATTTAAAAAGCAAATCTTGGCCGTAACTTTTAAGGGGTTAGGACTAGTGCTTTTGTACTTTACATATTCAATCATTGTGACAGGGCCTTTCATTTGATATCAAGAAATTTGAGCTTGACCTTGGAGTTAGGCCTACTTTTTAAAATGTTTAACTTGGCCATAACCTTTAAACGGTTAGGGCTAAGGTTTTTCATACTTCACATATACATGTATATTCTTTGTGGCAAGATTTTTCATTTTTCATTGGATACCAATTACCTTGACCTTGGAGATTTCCGTACTTATGAAAAAAACTTTAACCTTGGCCTACTACTTTGTGTACCTTTTTAAATTTGCATTTAAGAAAAGTTTAATCTTCATTATGTTGCCATACGGGGGGTATCAGTGTTTGACAAACACATCTTGTTCTAACAGGAAAATTAAACAAGGGATTCTTACTCTTTTTAGGTATTTGATTCCACTTCTGGAATTGACAGATTTGTGTTTTATGCTGTTAGCAGGATTCTTGAGATCAAAACTCGCATAGTTATAAATAACATTAAGCCTTAATTTATAATATATTAAGCAAAACAATGCTGTAAATTTTACTTCCTGATAGCGAAATGATAAATGCATATACGTAGGCAAGAATAAAATATTCATCAGTTCCCCTTTTAAATTGAAATCTAACTTAAACTTGTACATTTGTTATAACGTAATTTTCATTGAACCATTTTTTAAATAGTAACAAAAAGAACACAGTTCAAAGAGAAATTTTAAAATATGCAAATGCAATTATACATTATATATAATACAAGTTTAAGAAACCTAAAAATGTTTGAACATCCAATTTTCTGATCTTTAGTATAACAAACGAAGACATATGAGTTTCAGTTTTATGATACTGTCTTTAACTGTTTCAGACATTCAAATAATAAGTACACGACAATTAAACATAATAACTGTGAAATTACTCATTTCCCTGGGGGTTTAATTAACGATGTTTTCGATGCATGAAGATACCAACGCATTTATGACACCCACGAAATGTAAACTTTCATATGCATTACTACTAAGCATTTTCTAACCACGAAATAAAATCCCTCCAAACCATTTTCCCCCTCAAACCTAAAAAATTTGACCCCACAAAAATATGTGATTTTACAGTACTTCTTATTTGACTTTCTAATAATTCAAACATTATTATAAACGCCAATATCACTGGCAAGGAAATAAAATCTTTTATTGGAAAGACCCCTTTTAGCGATAGAAGACAAACACTTTACTCAGGAGTGTTTTATCATAGAAGGACATTTTTATCCCTCTCTATCTCTAGATCTTCCCCTCTCTTTCTCCCACTCCCCCTGTATCTACTGCATCTTTTTACGATATAGATTTTACATCCCTTTTCATACATTTAGCTTGATCAACAATCTGTTCAACGAAATGACAGTGTCCAAAAACTATAAATTTATAGCTTAATTTACAAATTCTACTTAGAAATTTTATTTATTTGTATATGTATATTTCTGTAACCCTCTTTCTCTCTCTCCCTCTCTCTTTTAAAAATGTTATTAGCTTCTAGTACACTTTTCTATTAAATTTTTTTAAACGCAATTTGATTTGAATCATTTCAAAATTTAACGAAGAAATTGAATTTGAAGCAAGGAGCATTCAGTGAGGCTGTAGCCCAGTTAAATATACTACTCAAATATTTTCCACTATGTTGTTAATCATTATTTGATAGTCTCAACCTTCAAATCAGGGAAAATATAAATCAAGAAAAATAGTAGTTCTAAGCAAAAAGGATTTTGAACCAAAGAAAAGCCAAGCTAAACAAGAAAATTCATTTAAATGGTACATACGTGCACG